CAGGTACTTTACAGACAAAGGAGAAAGGTTTGCTTAAAGTAATCTCTTTCTCACAGCTTAAACCTAAGAAACCTAAAATTAAGAGGCCACCAACTGGGTAATACACAAATGTGTTCACACAAACTATGAATGACAAGATCATTCTCAGACCTCTATTTGAAAAATATGTCCTTTTGTTATACCTCCAACAGAGAATATACTGTTGCTCATGGCCTTGTGTGCCAGGCTGCATGCGGCTTCTTGGGGATAGCAGTTTATTGTAGTAGTTCCTGTGTATGCTGTCCATCAAAATGCTGTTTTTGTGTTGCTGTCCCACAGATGTGCTGAAGGGGGGGATGGCTTTTGCATGCCAAAAAGTTTTGCAATTGTTATGCTTTTGCACAATGTGATATGAAGGGCTGGCAGGTGCATAGATAGACCTCAAAGGGGGCTTGAGCACCTGCCGTTTGGCCTGCTAGAGAGAAAGTGCCCTTTACCTGGGGTTTGTTTTTTTCTAAATAAATGGATACATTCCTATTTGTGCACAGCCTGCCGAACAGATATATTGGTGCTCCCAAGCGTTGCCCTCTTCCCTGTCTCCCTCCTGGCTTCCTGCCGCAACGGTAAGCACCCTGTGGGGATTGGGTTTCTATGGTGAAAGAACCTAGGCACATGAAATTGCACGCAAACACAAGTTCAATCACTTCTTTCTGTATTTTTTTTGGGATGAAGGAAATGAATGAAGGAATGTGAACTGTTAAAAATCTTTACCTTAAATCAATAAAAACAATAAATCTAATACACCTTATCTAAATAATTGTGTGTATAATGCATGTGACATGTAATAGTATACTAGCCATACTAGATCAGCATCTTTTTATTGCCCGTTATTACTGAAGCAAATTGTGCTTTTTATGGAGATGTGGTAAGAAACGAATATAGAGGCAAGAGAGGCAGCCATGCAGCCACAGGAAGTGCATCTTTGTCAGTAGAATTAACCCGGAGATATCCTTTAGTTTAGCTTAGCTAAGATAAACTTCTGCAGGTGTGGATGTCCATCAGGGGGCAAGGAGTTTGCTGGTTAGCATTTGAGGAAAATCACTATATTTATTTGCATGTATCATTAATTGCCTGTCATGTAACAGTGTGTGAATCAACCAGTCATGGGTTTGTTACATACATTTTAATATCCCTTTAACAACGTAACAAAAGTCATTCCAGGCATAATTATTAGCAAAAATTGCCTTTTATGATTTTAAGGTTGTTTGACATGTGCTGGGTTTCTTCATTGTGCAATGGTCCTCCACATGGCCTAGAATAGAGCTGGCCAATGCAGATCAAAGCCTGAAAGTAGATTTTAGTGATGGATTTTTGTTGGCGTCCGTGTGTAGTGGGGTAGGGGATGGGATGTGGCCAACGATTTGCATCAAAGCCCATTAGAAAAAATGGCACGTCACTGGTGGGAGAGGGATGTCTGAGTATACAGTATTTCAAGATCGACTGCACCTCTGAGGCCTGCCAACGGTGTAAACACTGTAAATGTCGTTAGTGTTTGTTTTGTATTTGCGAGATGTTTCATTAAAGACGATGCTGTTCATTAAAGAATGTCAAACGCCAAATCTTGTCTCCCCTGTTCTCTCTCTCTCCCAGACCTCACTAGTAATATATGACGCCATCCATCCATCAGCTTAAATAGACAGCAATGAAAAATATGTCAAATGTGATCATAGCACCATTAAAATTGTGTATTTTTCTTCTCTTCCTATTATTATTGAGCAGTGTTCATTAGTATTTGCATTTATTAGGTGGGCTAGGCAAACCCTCTTTAGGACCACAAACATTGCAACTAACTCAGACTGAGAAGCTGACCCACCGAGTGAAGTCATAACTGCATATTGCTGCTTGTCCACAGACAATTGAGAGTTTACAGAAACACCTACCACCTCATTTGGCAAGAACAACCTCCAGTTGGTTTAAATTACCCTACAGATAAGGCAATAAACTAATAGGGTGATGAGTGTCCTTACGCCTTCCTGGGGTATAAAGTTTTAGCTCTGTGATTTACTATTTACAGTTCATCTCCTGTTAATTTCCTTTTAAAAGTGTCCCCTTAATTAAGTGGACAGTACTGAAAGACAACTTTATGTACAGCTTTCTTTCATCATTAAATAAAAAACATGATTTGAATTACATAATCAAACCACTGAGTCATTTATTCCCTTTACCTTAACTAGCCCTGGCTACAAGGTAGAAAAATCTTTAGTAATGTACATCCAGTAGTACAGCCAACATTCATTCCGAGTGTAAGGTAGAATACTTTGACATTTTGGAAACTACATATATTTGTTGGATGAGACTATTATCACATATATAAATTACATGTTATATATTTACTGTGCAGACTTAAAATTGGCATCAAACTTTTCATATAATTCTTAGCAAAAATATAAATATTTCCCAAAATGTCAAACTGTCACTATCTGTTGCACTTAATGTAGCGCAGTCACATTACCCAGAGTGTACAGGGGGATGAAAGAATGAATGCTCTAGATATAATAGTTTTTTTTAAATTTTAGATCAGTTTAAACAGGATAATGCAAAAAAGGATCTGAAGTGGGAGGTCCATTTTCAAAGGGTCAATAAATATTTTTCCTAACTTTAAACAAACCTTTGCCATACCTAATTTGCCACATTCATACATTTAAGAAATAATAAATTGGAGAAAATTGCAGCTGAAAGTAAAGAATCATCAATTTTGTGTTTTGGCAAATGGGTCTCCACATATTTGTCTCTGATAAGACTAGAAACAGAAGTTATATTGAAACTGTACAGCACATTGCCTCACAGGACAGACAAAGAAACAGGATGTGCTTGAAAGAGACTTAGCTATGGATATTCCTAGAGAGTAAAATTATGCTATTGATGAAAAACAAGTTGTATTTGTACAACTTGTACTGTATCTTTTTGGCATTCAGCCTGACTTTGTGTCTCTCATCTTTTAATTATTTTTGAAACACAGCTTTGATGAAAGTCAGCACATATCAGAAAAGATCTTTTGCATCCCTGCCTGTGTATGTGCATGTGGACACACAAATAAGAGGGACTTAGCATTGTCCTTGATGAGGACTCAAGAGTTTGCCAGAATGATGAGGGATGGAGGAGGAGGAGGAGCAGGAGGAGGAGAGCAATGGCAGTAAAAACATGGCTGAGCACCTGCCTACAAAAGACGGCTGCCAGCTAATAAAGCAACTCTACAGCTCGCTGCTGCATCATAAATCCATCTCTCTCTGCTGTAGGGTTTACAGCGACAGGTCTCACAATGTACAAAGATGTAAATGGAAAGTTAGACTAATTTTTCAGAATTGGCTCACATGAATTTGCTTTGTAAAATATTAACAGTGTAAATCTATGAGTTTCTTAAATTGCACAAATGCAGATTCTGCTTGTTCTACCAGGCTTACACTCACAGTGTTCTGGCATGACAAGACAATTTCCTTTATATGATTTGTTAAATCTCTCATCCACAATTTACCAGAGTAAGTCACTACACTGAATTAATGACTGAGCTGCTCAAAATGGTCAAATCTCTCATGAGTTGCACACACCCTGCTCACTCAACCCAACCAGGCCACTCGCATGTAAAATTCGAAGTGCCATCAAATGGTTACTGGCAATGAAAATGAATGGCAGCTCAGGACAATAAAGCCACATTACAGCATAAAAACGACATTTTGGATTCACACTACCTTCAGGGGCCCAGTTTTTATGTAATTTTATGTTTGGGTCTGTGTCCTGGCCAGAATCTGAACAGCTATTATGACGTTAAGCTGGTTGTTATAGAAAGTAAAAATCGAACATCATCACGTTTCATTCTCCTCTGTGGCTTGTTTCAGGACAAACTATTTGACAGAATATTTTTACAAGGAAGAGGAACAGACCGGCCAACAGAGTGACTGTGTGTGTATACGGCATGTTCAAAATTGTTAATTTATTTATGTATGTGTTTATTTGTTAAAAGCTCTTACCAATCATTTCTATAGGACCTAAATGCTGCACAGAAAGTAAACAGTTTTCATGTAAGCCTAACATCACTTGACCTGAGTCATGTAGAGTTTTGACATACTATTCAGACTTTTTCTGTGTGCCAGATGAATGAGGATGGCCATGTGGATGGGGTTGGATAATACACCGAGACCTAGAAAAATGTCCCTTTTATTAAACCATTTTATCCTGATGCTGCCCATTTAATTCAACCTGCATAAAATAAATGAGAATTTTTTTTAAAGACCTGAATTACATTTTGATACCTAAATGCAATAACTGAACTCATCTGAAAGTGTATCTTTGCTTTTAGTATTATTTTGCATTGCTAATTCATCAACCAATGTGTTTATAACCTGTGATAGCCTCACACAGACCTTGCAGATACTGACAGTTTCAAAGCTGATTACATGAAAAAGGTTTGTCGTTAATGCTTTAGTGTTCTGGAACATATAATAATAAAAACATTTTTAGTTACATGGAGGCCCCATAAATTATATTTAACATTTTATTTTGCATGTACTGTATGTATTGAATCAGTAAATAACCCCATTGTCTCAGATGACACAAAATTTGTCAAAAATGATCTACAGCTTTGCAAAAGAACCATAAATTGAATGATAGCAGATAAAAAAATAGCAGAAATTCCAGGCTGAATTCCTGCAGATGAAGCCAACAATTGTACAAGGTTAATTGCTGATTAACATGGATGATACTGTTATACAATATAATATAGCTCTTTATTGTAATTGCACCACTAAGCTGAAATGCACTCATCTCACCATGTGAAGTGGAACTTGTCAAACATTACAAATGAAGAAGCTGCTAATTTTGTTTGGTGAAACTAGATTTTGTTGATAAAAATGCAGCCACATGCCACAAAATAATTGTAAGAGCACTAGAAGGAACGTATTCAAGGAGAAAAAAAATATATAAATTTAAAAAGTGTAGAGTGAAGCTAGAAAAAGAACTACGCCCGCTGTTGCTTAGAGTAATTTTACTTTTACAGAGAAAATTAATTGTACAGCATGAATGGACATTTTGTGCACACTGTTTTACCTTAGAAGCCATTTTACTGCATGCTGTCTGATGTATTGCGTTACATCTCCTCACAAACATCTGGTTTTATACTGAGTAATGTTTACTACATTACATGAGATACTGAAGTCACGTTTGGCTCTTCTATATTCAAGAAATAATGACCATGTAAGTATTCCACACCAGACTTTATACAGCACTGATCACATCTCTCCTAGATTAGCACTGCCTAACGCATGATAAATGTACTACTTTTACAGTTGCCTGTAAAACCACTGTTTGCGGATTTCTTGATCATCAGGTGGCAAAGGCAGCTGCGAGTGGATGAGCTGAACAGAAGCCAGGACAATAACATTCACACATTAATAGTCCCTATGGGGAAAATGGCTTGTGACAGCAGTGGAGGGCAGATTACAGATATGGAATACAGAACAGCATGAATACAGACAAAGAGAGCATGTAGCTTCAACAAAGGAATGTTTAATCAGTAAGACAGATGTGGATGTACTGCTTCACAGTGGCGAGCTGGTCTTGAGATCCAAGAACATGGTATATGGGTAGATGTGTGCACATGTGAAATTTAATCTATTGACATCAAGAGGTGGAAAAAGCATTATGAAGAAGCCTAAATATGCAGATAATATGCAGTAATATAATTAAATATTCATATCCCATGAATGCATAGCCAGGTGTATTTGGCAAGAATGACATACCGTGGTACAACCATAAAATCAAATATACAATGATATTATTTTTTTTTTTTCCAGTTGGAAGCAGGATTTTTTTTCCCAGTCAAAAGGTAATCTAGTAGTTGCTCCTTTTTACTGCTCAAGGGATGAGAAAGTGTAAACGCCCTTGATAGCTGCACCAGCTAATTAAATACTGTAGATTCAGGTTCAAGATTCAGTTCAGTTGGTTGGAAGTCATTCTCCCACCTCAGTGATTTAAAAATTGTGCATTTAAGACTTCAGGCACCCAAGAATTGGGATATGCTTGATGTGAAGTAATTCATAATACGTGCTGTCTGACCATGTCAGAAATCGAAAGTGTTTATAGTTGTTCCCACTTGAAGGCAGAGTAAAAGCTATTTGATAACCTGACAAGCAGTACTGACCATCATGGCCCCTTAAGAGTTACTCTGACTTCCGCATAGTCATAATGTTACCAGCTGAGTCAATTTTTCCTCAACAGAATTCAAATAATTTATAATCAGATTTCATAATAATTGCTAACCCAATGCATGAACTGTGTGTTCATACATGCCAATGAGCAGATCAAGAATTAATAATAATAACAATACTAATTCATAATTCCAGTAAAAACAACCTCTCATAGGCTACTGAGAAACACTTAACAATGAACAAGAAGAAAACTGTAAAACTAAGTGTAGAGGGGGTAAGAGGTGATGTCCCAGGACCAAAAATCAGTCTGGGGAAATCCCAGGGTGAATGGGTGGAAGACAGGTAGCTCCAAACAGTCACAAAGTAGCCATGGATGTCTTTCTCACACAAAATCGAAGGATGGCAGAGAGGTGGAAGAAAGTGAAACTGTTACCTAGAAAAGCCTCTGGTGTTGTTTCCAATGACCTTTTCTGCCCCTGATGAAGCAGAGTTGTGGCTCCTGGGTTTCTTTGAATCTCAGTCTGTGGAGATGCAGTGGTAGAATATGCTGTGTAGTGTCAATCATTTCCACAGCAAGGGAGATTTGATAATTAGAACAATTCTGATAACAGAATTCCGACCAACTCTGATAATTAAGGGCAAACGTTCTCGTTTCAGCTTCAGATGTGCCAATTTGATGCTTTTCCCTGTAAAATGAATATTTGGGCGTTGATCAGAGAAACAATTAACAACAACTAAGTTCCCTTGGGCTCTGAGAAATGATAACAGGAATGTTTCATTATTTTCTGACTTTTTTAAAATCAACGATCAGTTGAGAAAATTACTGAAAATAATTATTGGTCTAGTTACAGCCCCACAGGTCTTCTGAATGTGTTGGAAGAACCAGGAAGGAGATTGAACATTTAGGTAATTTATTAAAACACAGCATAACATCTCAGTGTTCAAAACACAATAACTTCCAACTTCACAAAAACAAATACTTGGAGTTATAAATATGTTCATGCCTCACCCATCCCTGGCTGAACCCACTGTGCTGTCATCCTGCCTGGAGTCAGAGTCCTGGTCGGAACTGTTGTATATCATCTGGCCTCTGTCGGTCTCGGAGGCTGTGAACCCAGTTCGCCTGGCTCTGGTTCTGCTGTTCATTCTCCCATGATAGCTCAGTGGAGAGCAAAGGCTGGCTCCTCGTGTCCAATCCAACAGACGAGGTACTGTAGCTCAAACTGCAGAAAAAGTTAATGCTGGTTATGATAGAAAGGTGTTAGAACACACAATGCATCACAGTTTGCAAAATGATCACCCAAAGGAATATAATAAATCACATTCATATCACATAAAACCTATGAAGGACACATGAAGGTTTAGGAAAAAAATACTTCAATAACAAACTCCATAGCACATAAGAAGAATATAAATAATGCAAATCTATAAAGAATGCAGAAATTGTCATTACATGACAGTGGCATCAGGTCAATAAACACGACAATATGTCAAAATGATGACAGCACTTGTTGAGTTACACAGAGTTGAGTTTCACATTATTATGTGAAAAATTCAAGATGGCTTTTGCTTGGCCTAATAAGACTGACCTTCAAAAACGTGTACCATTATTTGCATTCATCCTTGAAACCAACAAGGTCTAGTGAGCCAAAGTGCTTAAAGAGACCCCTCTCTCTCGTGTTATAAATATACCTTGTGAGGAACATCACAGACTGAAGTTCAAAATGTCAAGGCATCGTTTGAAGCTATATTTTTGATTTTTTTAGTGACCCTGCTGTCAGTTCTCACTCAACAGCCCGAATAATTCACCCTCATTTAATAAAAAGTTATGCCTAATTCTCATGAAAGGTAAATCGCTCTGAGAATGACAACCAATCGTTAAATTTCATTGTGCTTATGTTCTTCCCTCAGACTTTTTTCAGAAATGCCAAAACAGGATTTTTAGGGGGGTGAATTCCCTTTTCACCTTAACAGCTTCAGTAAATTCAGCAGAAGATTGAGCTGGCAGTTTGTTTTGCTCTTGAAAATCCTCTTGAAAACCCTTGGCTGATCCCTTGTAGTGATTGAGCAACAGAGCTGTGGAGTGAGCTGTCTGTATCACTTTTTTCTCCAGGCACATAAGACTTTCTTACAAGAGTTTCTTGTATTCTGATATTTAAGCCAATATAATTATTACAATGCCAAAAGCATGTCCTGCAGTGCATAAATAAAACATAATGAGCAGGCTGGTCATTATTATGGATTCTAGCATTTTTCATACATCTTGGTACTTTTGAAGCTACAAAAATTGCCTTTTCCTGGGCAAGAGTTTTTGGATATGCCTATATTTTAATATATCAAACCTACTCATTCCTTTTTTATACTGACTGTGTGTTTATGCCAATAAACTGTAGACGACTGTGGACTTTAACAGAGCTTTGGTTCAGTTTTTGCAGTTATTAATGGTCAGTAATATAATCAGTTCTTAATAATGATCATTAATAATGAATACTTTTTCTAAAGCATAACCAAGATGTTCTCATTTCTAGAGAAGCAAGGATACTTTTTCACAACATTTTTTAATGTGTGAGATTTTTATCCTTAATTGTACTCACATAATTACTTTTGTATTACAATAAAACCTTTCTGGGGCTTAAAATGATGCATAATAAAAGATATTACTCTCAGAGAGCTTGTTGCCGAATTAAGGGAATCACAATATTAAGTATTTAAAAAATGGAAAAGCTAAACACAAAGATAACATTTGAAATATTAATAGGTTTTATACTATTTATTTTTAATCTTCAGTTTGTGTGTGTGTGTGTGTGTGTGTGTGTGTGTGTGTGTGTGTGTGTGTGTGTGTGTCATATTATCGGAACTCACTTCCCATTTAGGGACAAAACTCTTTCCATAAGCTAGAGCGTTACATTTAAGGTTAAGACTTTGTTTTTGGGTAAGGTTTCGGGTAAGAGTTGGGTTGGGTACTATGATTACGGTTAAAAGATATATGAGAGAGCTATTGAAGAGTTATGAAGTTTTAGACAGTATAAATAAAAATGGAAGTAGTCTTCATGACGTCATCTATGCGTTTCAGAAGAGAGGTTGTGAAGCTCAGTGTAATCGGCTCTAACTGTGACTCCACTTGCTAATCCTGGCTAATCCAAAAATGGGCATAGAGGTTGAGTGTGGGTGGAGCTGAGGGGGGCTGATTGAAGCCTGGCTGCTGAAAACAGCTGCCTGTGATGGCACCCACCTGTCATTTAAAGCGACCATGCATATGCATAACTTTAAGCCATAATATAATTCAAATAGTTGAGCCATATAAACACTACAGTAAAGTTTTCATAAACAGGGAAATTAGCTATCAGTCCAAGGCTGTAAACATGTTGGGCATTCTAACATGGTGGTTTATGAAGACTGACTCACTTCTCAAGTGGCCATTTGGACAACTGCAGTTTTTAGCTCTTCCGCATTCAGCCACAGAAGTTGCCACTTGGCTTCAGTACTTTCAGTCGGCCAAACTGAGACGATCTCTTCATCCTAACAGTCGCATGTAGACTTAATACAAGTAACTTGGCCAACACTGCTGAATGTAAATCAAAGCAGTGTGACAAAAACAAGAGTCTGTGTGTCGGGTGTTGTGTGGACATGCACACTTGCACATTCACGCATGTGTACTGGAACTGTATGAATAGGCTACATACTTGTTACAAAGTGCAATATAAAGCTGCACCAATATAAGTTCTTGAAATGAATTCCAAGTCTGTGTAATTGTATTTGTTAATCTCCCAGCAAAGTGTTGCAGCTTGGCAACCTTCATGCATAATTCTGTAACAAAAGAAATAACTTTAGAGTTGTGTTGATGCTAATATATTCTTCATCTCATATTCTTTCTTAATTTAGACCACAAAGGTAACCCCACAACTGAAAGGACATTTACTTATACTTCTAAACTCCAAACATTGTGTCTCATTAAAAAAGCCCAAACCCCTTCTAAAAGGCAGCAGGTAGGCTACCCAGTGAATATTCTATTAAACTAGTAGAAATTGTGTCACCTTAAAGTCTTTTCTTCTCTGCCATTTGATTAGCGTTAAGATGACTTTGCTTGTGAGTCAGTGATGAATAAAACATTTGTTTGCAAGTCCCAAACAGCAGCATGAATGTAAATCAGCAACAATGTCACAGTTTGAAGAAAAATTCATTACCTTCTGATCCCATATAGATATACTGCATATACTTTGTATGTACAAAAGGTTTGAAGTCTGTCTTATATAATAATAGTCACACATAATGCTTCAGGCAACAATTGTCATTACACACAAAGTAAATAAAAGTCAAATAATGTAGTTACCTTCATTTCTTCTATTAAAATACGGCCAACAATGCTCACCCATCCAAAAAGTAAATTAGTGATTATATTTCCCTTCCAACCCAAAATCCCCAAACACAGACACACAATATTCCTACCCATGCACACATATCCACTCCCTTCCTTCCTTCTTCCCCTCCAGAGTGTCTCTCTGTTCCTCTCTCCCCAGTCGGGATTATTTACCACTACATCCAGCAGACTGAAGCTCCACAGCTACTCTGCCCCGGGAATGCCTGCAGCCATGCAGCAATCAAAGCAAAGCGTCATCCTCTACCACCTGCACCCATGGGAGCACAGGAACGAAGAGGGAAGGAGAGTGGAGGGGAAGAGGAGGGGGAGAGGAACGGTTAGGGGAGGGACAGAGGCACGGGGACAGAGAAGGGAACAGGGAGATGAGAATATGAAACCTGTGGGACTGGGAGGGAGTGTGATGGGAAGAGTGGAGGAATAGGCAAAAGAGAGACATTGGCAGCAAATACTTTGTCCCCACGTGGGCTCCTTGGGACCCACTGAGACGGAAGCAAGAAAGGAAACAAGGAGAGAACAGATGGAGACAGAGGGAGATGTAAAAGAAGAGGATTAGAGGATGGAAGATGGATTGCAGGATGTAGAAAGACAGAAAAAACAGCAGATGAGATCAGCTGCATTCCTATTGAAACACAATGGGAATTAAAAAATGAATAGGAAAAAGACAAGATGGAAAAGAGAGTGAAAAAGGAAAGAAAGAAAGAAAGAAGACAAATAGATTTTGACTATAACCTGAAACCCTGCAGCTCAAGAAAGAGAAGAAAGGAAAGCAAGAAAGAACAATTAAGGAAAGGTGAGAATGGGATGGTGAAAAAGAGAGAGGAGGGAGAGGTTGTGGCAATAAAATTAAAAAGGTGTAGATAGAGATTTGATGGCTTCAGAGAAAGGAGATTAATAGTGGCACAACTGAATAAAAGGTATTTGAAGGTAAGGAGAGACAGCAGGATAGGCAGACAGATTCAGACCAACAGAGAAACAGCAGTAGGGCCTACAGTAAATGAATATGAAGAACCATGAGCAAAAATAAGAAAACAAGACCATCAACAACATTGCCCCAACCCAAATCTGCTCAATGTTAAGTTTGGGTAAAATTAGTATACAAGTGTCAGACTTTCTCAGAACACAGTTAGCATTTAGCGATATTCTCAACATATTGTGCTTACAAAGTTATGCATTTCTTATTTTAAGATTTATGCAGCCAGCTGGACTGATCAAAAACATGGCACATCCCAGGTCAAGGGAAGCAATGCCATGGACAGGCATTCATGTTTTGCAAGGGAAGGCTCTCTAGCTACTGCTATTGTAGCTATTTCTTGCATAAGCCAGCAGGAAAACATGGAGTTATTCTTTATTCTTTCTTTATTTTTGGAACCCCAATTACCTGTTAGATGACCTGAGTTAGTTTCAAGTTGTTGGGTGATTTGCCTTTTTTCACAGAAGATGGTATGTTGTGGACAATGTAAATGGGGTTTGATTTCCCCCTAAAAGCAATCCAATATACATTTTGTCAGATGTATAAAGAAAGATAGCATTGGCAGTGATTTGAAGTCTTAAACAACAATCCAAATAGAAACTAAAGAGAATCTACAGTTCAAATGGAAAAGATGGACTTTTTATATACAGTATACTGGATGCAGAGAGAGTTATATTTTGCCTAAACTGACTTGTGAAAGTTCCACAAAAACAAATTCTTCTTTTTCTATATTTCATCCTCATACGTCTATGTGGATATACTAGTAATTTAAAACAGTCAAACCCTTTGAAGCAGTGTTTCAAATGAAGTGAAGCCACAGTGTATTGCCTCTAGCACAAGCTTTTCCCCTAATAGCTGCCAATGCAGAAAGCTCAGTCGATCCCCAATTATACCATGATAAAGTTAGTCTCTCTTAATTGTCCATTAACGTAATTATCACACGCAGTAATTGCCTTTCAAAATAATGGGCACCAAAATGGCCTAGTAGCTGAATTTTGATCAGCGCAACACCTAAATTAGACCCATGATGTTTTTACCTGAGTGATAAAAATGCACCAGGGAGTGATTGAACTGCAGGAAAAAACTGTTTCTAAGATCATTAAATGCTTTAACAGCATAGTTTCCACTTTGAAACTGCATGGGTAAGCCCAGAAAATAGACAGATCTGTAAACAAAAATTTGAGGCAGTTGTCACCACAGTGACCAAATGGAAAGATGAAGAAACTGAAAAGAGGGGGTATGTGGAAAGGAGGAGGCAGCATGAAGGCTAGATAAGACTGAAATATAAAGGAAAAAAGAACGAAATTACACAACAGAGAAGAGAAAAGTGATAGAAAGGAGTGCAACAGATAGAGTGAGCAGGGGAGGACAAGGAAAGGAGTGTCGGGACGCCTGCTGGGACGCCTGCTGGGCCTCCTGCGAAGTGACAGTTCGATAAACACCTGAGACTCAGACGCTGATGATGGGCGTCAAGGGGCGAAATGCAGCCTGGCTCTGGCTCACTTTCTCTCGTCTGGTGATAATGGTAATAAACAGCAGCATAAATGAGCTTGCCACCTGTGTGTGTGTGTGTGTGTGTGTGTGTGTGTGTGTGTGTGTGTGTGTGTGTGTGTGTGTGTGTGTGTGTGTGTGTGATTGTGTGTGTGTTTGCAGCATAAATGAGCTACCCTCTTCGGTTTGACAGGGCTTTATAGATGGTGTGTGCATTGCTGGGATAAAAGGCAGATCCATTTGTGCCTCATATTAGAGGAGCGCATGGGTGGCCATCATTTCAGCTACTGTCACCCTCCCATCCTCTTTCCCTTCTCCCACTTTCTTAAATCTCCTCCCTCTTTTACTTTGTGCTCCTTACTCTCTCTCTTTATACCTCAAGTCTTTCCTGTATCTTTTCCTTTTTTTTTTTGTCACCTCATGGGTGATATTTACTACTATTATCCGCATTGACTCCAAACAAATATGTCTTCCTCCTCATTTTGCTTCAATCTTCCTCCTCGGTTTATTCTTAGTCTTGTGTTTGATTCTATTCACAAGTGTTCTTTCATATAAACAAATGTAAAAATGACTAAGATTGATTAATATGGAAAAAATGGGCCTCAACACTACCACAACATCCGTTTTTCTCCAGTATTGTTCTGCAGTCAGGACAATTAACAAACTGGATTTTAATGTCTGTCATCTTCCTTGTCTAAGGATGAGAGGGTGACAGCTTAACACTGTTTGAGTTTGATTAAGTCTCATGGAGTGTTGACAGAGACAGAGAGAGTGGAACGAGTGGATGTATCAACTGTTAGCCATGTGTGTGTTTGTCTAACAAGACAGGGTGGCTTTAGCAAGTTCTGTTTGCTTTGAGAGCCATTTCTGTGTGCAACGTGGTTGTTCTGACTGTGTTTGAGTGTGGGTGTGTGCGCATTATGATCTAGCAATATGAGAGACGTTAGTTAAGGGATGCTCAAATATGAGTAACTACTTCACAGATTTAAAAGTTTTGCTTGTTAAAACATAGATTTGATTTTGGAGCTTGCTCCCTCTGGACCCAGTTATGAGGATGGGATGGGCCCATAATTGGCCAGCAACATACTGTAACTCAGATTAACCATTATCAAATTGAATCTGGGCCTGTGAATATTTTTGGATTAGCTTGCTAGCAAGGAGCTGGTTGACCTTAATTATTGATAATGAGCTGCATATTAATGCCCCTGGAATTTTTTCATTCCTGACAGGGTTCCTGACAGTCATCACATTAATGACCAGTTTACTATTATATTCCGTCACTGCAGTTCAATATGAGGTGACTTATTAGGTTTTTGCACTGAACTTCATAGACTACATATAATAAGGCTATTTAATAAGGCGATGGTGGTAAATTAACATCCCGGCAGTCAAGGCCATTGTACTCTGCTAAAAGTTAGTGAATTGCCCCTTTTGGGTTGGGAGTGAGTTGTTGCTGCAAGTGCATCAGGGTCTTGGTCACATGTGAAGGGATCAGTGCAGTTTCTGTAGTTTTGCAATTGTTGTTCTGAACTGTTGTGGTCAAGGGGGAGCTGAGTCTAACTCTCAATTTACCATCTAGTCTATGTTCAACCCTCACCTGTAGCCATTAGCTCTGGGTAGAGACAGACAGTAGTGACTGAAATTATCTGTCCTGGCAGTGTGTCTGAGCTCACCCTCAGGGGCAGAAGAGCTGGAAGAGGAACCGCAGCTCTGTCACATTGGAAGGAGCCAGTTCAGATGCTTCAGGCATCTGATCTGGCATCCTGATCAGATGCCTGAAGCATCTGAACTAGCCAGGATTCTGGGCACGTTTACCAGCATGAGAACCTAGGTACTACATATCCCATCTGGCTTGGGAATATATCAGGATATTCTCCTGGAGGACATCCATGACAGCACCTTGACATAGAAATTATTATTACGATGACACACTGATTACCTATACTGATTATTTAAAATCAGCGTAGTATATCATCAAAGTAATTCATCTGGCGAAGTCTTTTGTGTGTGTGTGTGTGTGTGTGTGTGTGTGTGTGTGTGTGTGTGTGTGTGTGTGTGTGCGTGCAGGGTGCACATGCAGTGCCTTGCTGGCTCCACATCTCTGAACCAACAAGATGAGATCAATGGGATCAAACAGCCTGTGGTCTTCTGTCTAAACCACACTGTTACTGGGAACTCTGGGCCCAGAGTAGCACACACACACACACACACACACACACACACACACACACACACACACACACACACACACACACACACACACACTTCACAACCACATTACTCCCATCAAATGATGGTACATCGAACAGCATCTGTCCAAGTGGGAATAAGACCAGTGAAGCAAGTACTGTTAAACCAGAAATAATCAGATGGTGTGCACCTGTACGATATGTGTGCATGTGAGGTTTACATTACATTTACACATGTATTTTAGACAAGCATTAACATATGTAGGAGTGGTTTGTTCCCCACCGAAACTAAAAGAGCTATGAATGCAGCAGAGTTTCGTGCAATACGTCTCAGACTTGGTAGGTGAGTTCACAAAAACTGATCGAACAGCTTTGAAAGAAATGTTCTGAAGCAGGAGAATTTGGATTAGAGAAGACAACGAGGGGAAAGATACCATTCTAATGATGGCAGTTTCTGTTTTATCACTTAATTTCACCACAATTTTCCCCTGCTATCCTGATGCTTTCAAGTCGACTTCAGTAGGAAGGCAGGGAGCAAGCAAGTTGAACCTTTTTGGTGTTTTACTATATGTGTCTTTGATTTTGTTAATGCCG